ACAAATATTAACGCCAATATGTGGCTACGGCAAAGAAACCTTTCTCCACCACTGACATATTTCCATCGGTCGCTGTACGTGCATATAAAGTTACATGCGACAACTTCGCAAATGCAGCCACGTCGTTACCGCAGCATTTCTTGATCATAATAAAGTCCAGAAAACAGATCTTAAACCACTGCGGCTTGTTAAAAGTGAATGAAGTCCTCTATTACAATAGCTGCCAGTTCCGTCTGTAACAACGAAATTCTTACGGATCGACTCAACAAAATACAGCTGTGTACAGTCTGATGTTCAATTAATTTCTACTTCTGTAGTAAACAAACCATGAACGTATTCTTTCATTTAACGTTCGCATAAATGTGTTGACTTTTCCTGTAAAACAGCTTTCATAAGTTATCATGTAATGAGTGCAAAAACTCTTGTTTTGAAGTGCTGCTGTTTGTTGTTTGACTGAACTGAGTTTTGAGAAAGTTCAACGCCATTAAATCGTGAGTCATGATTGGCTTATGATGACTTTAGAGAGAAGACGTGACTTGATCACGGTACTAGAACCATATTTTTTACCATTCTACTAAAAGTTATTTTATAAAAGCAATAGACCACACTTTCTTTGGGTTTACCGGCGTGATAACCCACTTGGGATGTTGGGAGAACACTCGAAAAGCTTGTAAATCACGAGCCAAAGGCGAGTGATTTACAAGCTTTTCGAGTGTTCTCCCAACATCCCAAGTGGGTTATCACGCCGGTAAACCCATAGAAAGTGTGGTCTATTGCTTAAATAATGGAGGTTAGTTTCATTGCCAATCATAATCATCTTATTCCAGGGATTATCAAATAGTTTGTATTGGCCATATTTGCGGATAGATGGGAGTACCATGGAGAATACCCAATCTTGGAATTTTTTAGCTGTTGGGAATTTGGAACTAAATACAAGGGAGTAAAAACCCGGTTCTGATATGAAATATTGATATCTGACCTGACCCGCCAAAATGGCGGGGTAGCTTTTCTTGTACTTTTCATCAAGATGATTTCTTATAGCCTTATCAGTGTCGCAATAAACAAGGATCTGGGCAACATCTTTTCCTTGAAACCAAACATTTTGCTTATCATGAATAAATGATGTCAGCTCAATTTCTAAATCTTCATTAGCATACTTTTTTTCAATCACATACACCATTATAATAATAGATTACATAATTTTCTATCACACAGACCAATAAAATGGTATATATGATAGATTAAGAAATATGCTGGGCCTGAGGTGCCGTTTCAGCACCTTGGACCTGATGCCCCGTTTTAAGGTACCAAATCTGGGACCTGCCGTCCCCATTTTGGGTACGCCAGGTCTTGCTGCTGTCACAGAATGGACACACCAATAAATTAACTGTTTGTAGTTATCCTTACTCTTTCTCCTCCTCCTCCTCTTCCGTTTCAAAGATCACTTCAAGGACGCCGGTTAGTGACATTTCAGCTGTTTCCAGTTTTTTGGAGATTAATTTATTGTGGTGTAATGTGGCAATCTCTTCCTCCAATTTTTGGATTTTAGTGTATAGTGCATTGAGCTCGGCGTCCTTACTGCAGACTTTAGTATGAAGCTTTTTTATATGACCGTCCATAATACTATTTAGTTAGGTAAATCTTGTAGGTTGCTCAGTGGAATCCAACTATTAAAATCGTCACTATAACCTAACCATTTGGTAATATTATACTGCTCCAATATTTTTGGTAGTATGTTGAGATATTGGGTATTACCATGGACAGTAAACTGCTTCCACATTTTGGTTTTAATTGTACGGTTCCACCTTTCACACACACTAGATTTTTCCTCATTCTCGGTTGAGTATAGTGTTATGTCATTCTTTTCC